AGTGGTAATATAAATGAAATGAATATATTCTTTATTGCAGTAATATAAAAAAGAATGGCCTGAGCTTTTAACATAGTGCTTGACCTCTGGTGTCTGAACACCACCTAATCTCAGGAGTATTTCACAACAGCATATGATGAAACAAGTACTAATACAGCTTTAGAAGAGTTTAACACACTAGCACTTAGACATGTAGAAAATATTATACTTTAGGTATGTTTTTTGATTATAAATCAGACTGACAACAGAAATAAAAGAGGTGATTAGAAACTACACAGTGAAGTTCATAATTACATTAATTATTAAAGCATTGCCTTTTCTATTTTAAAGTCCCTCTTTCCAAAATACTCTAGCATAAAGTCACACTGGGAAACTCCAGATGCTGAGATATAAAATTCTCATTCAAATTTGAATTATTTATAAGCATTCAAAACATGGTATTTCTTCTCAAAGGCCCTGATCTTACAAACATCACCTTTAGGTTTTAGATGTGTATACATAAGTTGTATTCCCTTTAAGGGCATCAGTCACATACAAGCCAATAAAGATGTACAGAAGTGACTGCAAAGATAGGTCTTAGGAAAGCTGCACTTCCTCCTACCTACATGCACATGCCAATTTATTAGCATGCACCATGCACTCACAACTGGAAAATAAGGGAAGCCATAAAGAGAGGTGACCAAAGAGACACTTGATGATGCAATTACTGCAACTGCAAACAGAGGTGAGAGGGGGTCACACAATGTGGAGGATACAACTACAACAGTGTTCAAACAAAAAGGAAGTTTAAAGTTTACATGAAATTCTATGTTCATCTTCACTGCTATCATGGAGATCAGGAGTCAATTAATGTATAAAGGCCCAAAACAGATTTCACAAATTTGCACTGAATATAGTATTTATTTTAGCAAGGCTATTTCTTTTTTAACACTGATGAGGTAACCTCACAAGGTGTTTGTCTGTGAATCCCCATCTACCTCCTGGTCTACAGGCACTTTCTTCACATAGTTCTCAGTGAGGGCAGCAGAGAAACAGTAAAAGAAGGTATTAATGAGCAAGTACTTCAATACAGACTCAGTCAGGAGGATTTTCCCTATTCTGTAAATCTATTACTTCATTTTAGAGTATGAAAGCAAAACATTCAGAAAGACTATCTTGGGAACATCTGACATGAACTAAGAGCTCCCATTGCATGGGTAACTACTGAGGTATGATGATAATGATTATTATTATTATTATTATTATTATTATCATCATTGTTGTTATTATTACAACTTAGGTCCTACAAGCAACTGTTATGAACGTTTGCTTGCTTCAGTCAACGCCTCTGTATTATGCCAGTATAAAGCCTATTCATCAAAGCACAATTTCAAGTGACTCCTGACCTTCAAAATGAAGGGTTTGCTTCTGCTTTCATTTCAGTCACTTTGACTATGGTGACTGTGCTGCCAGAATCTCACCTCGTCCATCATCAGTGCAGGGGAACAAAGTTCACATGCTTCTTACACAGCATTTAGAATTCAACATCTTTACTGCTGGATGCTTTATCAGAACAGTTCTAGCTTTTATCTGAATAAACTATTATTCAGCATATAAAGCATATCAGTAAACCCCCCCGCAAACAAAACAAAAAACCAAATCCCAAGCAAAACCACAACACACAAAACCCCCACACCCTTCACCTTGGAAGTGGAAAGGCACAAAGCAGACACATCTACTACTTTACACAATCAGGCATTCACTTTCATTCAGAAAATTCTGAGGCCAGGGCACAATCCAACTTTGACATTTCATTTTCATGGCTTCCTCTAAGACGACGTGAGTTACTGAAGGCACGGCTGGAGTTAAACAAGTACTGCCAAAAGATGTATTCTATGATTTTGCTGTTGTGTGCTGACTTTCAAATTACAGATTTTCCTACAGCAAAATATTTCCTGCAAAGTCCTCAGGAACTCCACTAACACTCCTGAATGCTGGGTCATGGCAACCTGAGTCTCACAGTAGAACTCTTTTTAACCCACAGGATACTCCACTTAGAGAGCAGCCTTGAGTAGCTCCTCTCAGGGAGGAGCCCATTACAAGGAGAGCCCAGCACACACTGCAAGCTCTGGCTACTCAGCCTGTATGTGACTGATGCACAGAATTAAGCCCACAGCAGCACATCAAGTATACTTCAAATTTTCTTCCTCTGCCCCCCATTCCCAGGTAAAGTTCCTTTATTGAGGACTTACTTTGCTAAGCTACATCAGAAAACAACTTTATGTGCTGTACTCCAGTGAAGGTCACAGCACCAGAATGTGGTCATTAGACAAGACGTCAGAAACAGAAGGATGATTACAAATATGTTCTATACAATCACACAGAACAATTTAGCATTGCTGTAAAAGTACTGCGAACAACTGTAGTCACATTACTGCCAACTTCAACATATTTCACGTGCAACAAAATACTGTAGGAAAACTCTTCCTTACAGAGCGAAAACTGACAACCTTTTTCATCTGTAACTTCTACCATCTCTGTGCAAAAGTGAGTGACAGTATAAACAACGTTACAGAAGTTATCTAACAAGTCTCTTGCACTGCAGTTCCATTCAACAGAGACATCCCTCTATGTCCACAGCCTCTGTAATTTAAACAGATTCTTCACAGCTCTTTACATCAGTATGTACACACTTTGCCTCAGTACACAGTCTTCAGTTTACCCTTTCAAAACTCGTAGCTAGAAAATAGCTTTTAAACAAACTACAACAAAAAACATGACTACTGTTAAATCAAAACACATAAACCACACAGTGTACTACTATTTATTGTCATATTATTAAGACATTGATGCAAAATCTTTTGAAAATACAATGTTTGTTCAGAAATAAGACTGTAATGAAGTTCTTTGAACTCCTTTAAAACATGAGGCCTTTGACAGACTACACTTCTGTAACACTAACAAATTGCTTCCTTAACCAAGTCAGAATGATGGAAAAAAGACAGAATGAAAAAAAAAAAAAAAAGAAGAAAAAAACTTCTCAAACCTGTCCACTGATTGCTTTAACTACATTTCCAACATCGTACCAGGCAGCAAATACAGAGCTTTAACATTAACAAGAGCCCATGCTGCATGAACAGCTATTACCCCACCTTGCAGCACTGTACAAGAACACACTTAGAAACACACTTTAAAGCAATCCTAGTCTTACAACAAATCACTTGAACAGCTACAAACAGAACTGCTCAAAAGCTGATATACCAACTAGAAAAAAGGAAGATAAACCACAAAAAGACCAAACTCTTTCAACAGGAATCTCAGAAAAATAACTCACACCCCCATAAATCATGTACTTAATCATAAAAGCAGATTTACTTATGAAACTTAGTAGGAAACTGTGGAGTAATTTTGGATTGAACTACTATTAAATATTAAATTACTCTGAGTCTTTCTGTACTGATACATGTCAACAGAAACTTGTAAATGCTAGGCTTACTTAAAAGTTGCATGTCAACTTTGCACTGTACATTCAGAAAATATATGAAACAATAAAACTTCTCAGTGAGCTGAAAGCAACAAGTGTTTACCCGAAGTTATTAGAAGCCTGAAATTTACTAGAATTTCTTTTTCTAATGTAACAGAGGATATCCTACCATTCTGTCTGAAAGCAGCTGGTGTAACAGTGAGCAAAGGGAAAGCATGACTGCATATTCAAAGGATCTGTGGCTCACAGGAGAGATTTCATGATTTCATATAACTGATGAGCAACCTGAATATAAATTACAGGAAAAAGCACAGAAAGACCAGAGAATCAGTGAGCCTGAGGGATGAAGGTGCAACATGGAACAACCTTCCTTGTATCTTTGTGAACTACAGCCTCGCTGTCCTCAGATTTTCTACATTTATCATTGGTCATGTAAAGTGCTAAATGTTACACAGTGAATAACTGTGGCATTATTTCACCTCAAGGAAGATAAATCTACTGCTTCCAACTTTCAAGAGGAAGCGAGCAAACCAAGGAGCATCTAATTCACTCTACAAATAGCAGGACCTAACAGCAAAGTGCCAGTAGCGAAGCATAAACCTTTTTTGAGGGCTCAGGCAGTCCGATTTAAGCAGCCCCGGCTCATATCTTCACGTATAATAGCTCTCTTTTTGTGGTGCTCTCTGATCGCTAAGTGAATTTCAGCCCCAAACGTATTTTTATTCATTCAGTGTTCAAGATGCAATACCGATAATGTTGTATGGAAAAGTAGGGGAAAATAATTACAACAGAAAACTGTTCCCAACACCTTCGTAGGCGGATTGCGATATAACCTGTTGTAGGCATGTTTCAACAGACGGAAGAGCCAAGTAACAGGCTGCCGGGGCTGCCGGGCGGGAGTGTGTGGATATGTGTGGGTGCCTCTCCCCGGCAGCCGGTGCCTCTGCTCCATCCGTGCTGCGGCGGAGGCGCCTCCCAGGGGCGACCCGCCCGGCCTGGCTCCGCGGAGGGGCGCGGAGGGGAGCAGGGCTGCCCTCCTCTCCCTCCTCCTCCTCCTCCTCTGCCTCCTTCACGCCCTGTGCCCGCGGGCAGAGGGCAAAGTTTTCTCCCCCGCACAGGGCGGCAGCGGGGACAACCGCCACTGCGGACCTGCCCGCTGCCTCTCGCCGCCCGGCTGCAACTCTCAAGAAGTTTCAGCCAGCGAACAGAAACGCGGCTGAGCCTGCCTGCATCCCCGTCATTCTCATCCTTTTTTTTTTTTTTTAAACCCCCCACCCCTTTAGTTTCTGTAGGTATTTAATCTTTATCTACACGCACACACACGCTCCTCCGGGAAGCCCCCGGTGCCACCGGGGCCGGCAGAGCCGCTCCGCTCCGCGCCCACGCCGCCGCGATCCCCGGCCGCACTCCGCTGGGGCGTGCGCGCAGCCCGGCGGCGGCAGCA